CTGGGGGTGCAGGGAGGGGGCAACGCCGGGGCCAGCGGGGGAGGGCAGAGCCTCATCGTTCTGCAGAATGTAGGGAGTGGGGAGGCGGGGCCACAGGAAATGAGTGGGGTCCAGCTCCAGCCCCTCCGGCCAGCCCCGGAAGTAACCACGGTCCAGCTCCAGCCGGCACAGGAGGTGACCACGGTCCAGCTCCAGCAGGCACAGGAGGTGACCACGGTCCAGCTGCAGCCGGCACAGGAAGTGACCACAGTCCAACTCCAGTCTGTGGCGGGCCAGCTGTCCAATCCTAGTGCAGGAACAGTGACCACTGAGGCCCCCAACCTGCTGGTGGTTCAGAGTGGAGCAGCAGAGGAATTACTGGCGGGCCCCAGCCCTGGGGAGCCGGGTGACGGCGAGGCCAGCGCTGGTGTGGTCCAGGATGTGCTCTTTGAGACGCTGCAGACGGACGAGGGATTGCAGAGCGTCCTGGTGCTGAGCGGGGCCGATGGGGAGCAGACCCAGCTGTGTGTGCAGGAGGTCGAGACCCTCCCCCCGGGGCTGGCTGAGCCGCCTGCCCCCGGCCCCTCGGGACAGAAACTGCTCATCATCCGCAGTGCCCCGGCCACCGAGCTGCTGGAAAACAGCAGCGTTGGGGGAGGCGCCGCCACGCTGCAGCTGCTGGCCCCACCGCCACCTGGCCCAGCCTCGCTCCCCGCGGGCATCCCTGCGGCGCCCACTTCCCAGATGGTACAAGTGGTCCCTGCAGGAACTGCGCCTGGGGGCATGACCCCACAGAGCCTGCCCTCCATCCAGATTGTCCAGACTCTGCCCACAGTCCAGCTGGTGCACACGTTTTGAGTAGAACCACTGGTACCTCTTCCTGCCCCACACAGAGACCCCGACTTTCTGTCTGCCTGGTTGGGCTGGGGGAAGGGGAGCTGCAGGCCGGGCTTGCTAATAAAGACCAGAACCTCCTCTTCTGTGTTTTGGTTTGGGGGGGTGGGGAGGGGCCGAGAAGGGAAATGTCATGGCCATCGCCATCGCTTGGGAGCCTGGAGTCTTATCTCTTGCTTCCTGGCTTGCAGGTGACTTGCTTTGCTTCTTGGGGCCAGCCACTTCTATGTGGGGCTGAGTTTATCCTTAAAAAACAGATGCAGTGGTCACTATAGCGGGCAGGCGTTGGAGTCCAGAATCCTGGTTCAGCCACTCTTTCGCTGTAACTCACGCCACCCCGCCTCATCTGAATGATGGGTGGGTGGGAATGCTTATCTGAAGGTCACTAAGAGCCCAGGTGGGTTGGGGTGGAGGTCCCCGGGGCGGGGGAGTTTGGGAGGCAGTGGGCTGGGGATGCTGGCGCGGCCCCTCCCGCAAAGGCCCTGGAGCCAATGAGAATTGATCCGCTTGCATCACCGCCCCCTCTCAGCGCTCAGGTTGCTTAGCAACCAGGGAACGTTGGGGAACGAGTGTGCGCTCACCCTCCGCGAACCGGGTGAGTACAGCTCCTCGCCCCCCCCCCCCCCCCCCATGTGTTATATGCTTTAAATCAATTCATTGTACATTATTTTCTGCAAAAAGACACTTTATATCACAGGTTGATCACCCAGAAAATTATAAGTGAATACAAGAAATTACTTCCCAATATTGAAAACATATGAAACAAATTCTTTATTAAAATTTGTAAGCAGCTCGAATTATATCATAGAGATTTGCTTCATATCTTTTTTATTTGAACCCAAAACAATCATGTACTCTCGGCGAAGTCTGGGCCTGGTTGGCTCCCATCACCTGTGTGTACTCAGTGTTTATCTCAGGGTT